TTGAGCCTGCTCTTCCCTCCAAAAATACGTCACTACAAATATATAAAACTACTATGGAAGAAATGTCCAACAACGACAACAACATCTCCAAGGTTTGCCAGAGAGCAAAACGTATGCAGCCAGGAAAACCTGCTCCAGCTCAAACCGCCAAACTACCTGTCTTGTTGCCGGCTCCTCGCTGATTGGCCGCCGGTCTGGCTGCAACTGCACTCCACCCACCATACTACTTGACGTCTGGGGCCGCCACGACCTCAGTCCTCAGAATATTCAGTGCTTTCATACGGTTAACACTTCTTCCTGGTAGACTAAAGCTTTGGCTTACGTGTACTAAGAGAGGTGATAGCTTAAAGCCAATATTCCTGCACCAATATTTACGTTATTTGCACTTCTTGTTATTGCTCACTTGTCTTAACGTAACTTTTCATTTTGTCATTTAAATTATTCTTATTATTTTGATTGATTGATTTTATTATTCGAATTTGTATGTCCATTTTATTCATGTTTTGTTTATTTAACGTAATTAAAATTCCATTGTTAAAATTTACTTGTGTTTTGTGTGTCTTCTCCTTACCTTACCACAGACGAAGTTCCAGATTTTCTATTTTTTTTATTATATGTGACGAGGCCATACCCCTAGCTTTGAACAGCCGAACACCAACGCGTTACCGTCACAATATATATATATATATATATATATATATATATATATATATATATATATATATATATATATATATATATATATATATATATATATATTATATATATATATATATATACAGGGCCTCCATGCCCCTTGACGTATCCAGTACTATAACCACTCGGCCACACTGACTGTATAAATTGATTATACTCGGCTTGTACTGGTCGAGAGCTTATATTACTGGACACACTCAGGGGACACGGAGACCCTGACTGACGTGGTTCGAATTTTTCAGGGATCAACAGTTTTCTGATGCATGTTGGCTTGGGGACCATTCAAGCTTGACGCTTGTATGTATATGTATACAGAATAAGCGTAAACAGGTCAGAATTTCAACTTTTGTAAACGCACATTAATGACTCAATGTAAAAGATACCTCATTCACTGTTTATTTAGGACAGACGTACGGTAAGTCTGAGTATTTATGTTTTGTTTGTATGTAGGTTAGATTAGTATTTTAAAAGCACTACAATCACCTGTCGTTGTTTGTTCAATAAATCACTGAACTATATGTTGAACAGATCTCTAACCTTGTATTTGAAAGACAGAAGAAAATGCATATATGTTGGTTATGTGTGGCCACATGGAGTCGGTCGGCCGAGCGGACAGCACGCTGGACTTGTGATCCTGTGGTCCTGGGTTCGATCCCAGGCGCCGGCGAGAAACAATGGGCAGAGTTTCTTTCACCCTATGCCCCTGTTACCTAGCAGTAAAATAGGTACCTGGGTGTTAGTCAGCTGTCACGGGCTGCTTCCTGCGGGTGGAGGCCTGGTCGAGGACCGGGCCGCGGGGACACTAAAAATCCCCGAAATCATCTCAAGATAACCTCAAGATAATGTTTGTGATAGACAAAAACCTCTCCTTATCCCTGACGTAATCTTTGGCACTCTCTCCCTGTCCTTCTTGTTGCAACCTGCTCTCGCACAAGACAGTACATATATGTCTTATTACTTATAGTTACTAATTCGCTTATAAGTACATATGTGACATATTAAACGCCATCTTTTTTTTCATGGCACTAACTTTTTCTCTCAGTTTTATTAAACAAAAGAGATTTTATACAAAAGTTGATAATATCCTGAGTTACTTTACAATTTATTTAAATATTTTAGTTTTGTTTTATTATTTTGATAAAACTGTAATATAAACTGTAACTGTAATAAAACTGTAATAAAATAGCTCAGTACTAATTGTAATAGCTTAACATACTTAGAAGGTTAGGTTAGGTTGTGGTTTTCTATTCAGCTTTTTAAGGTAAACTCAAATATTCACAATATATTAGTATGACATATATACACTTATTCATAAGCAAGATATTGACTATAAGAAAGTGCGAGAACGGGTTGCTTCTTATCCCTGACCATGTCAGAGACACTGTCCTCCTTCCTGGCCCTTGTCCTTATCCCGGACCTTCTCCTTCTCCTTGGTCATATTCACTACACTGTTCCCTTCCCTGACCCTCTCTTTATCCCTGACCTTGTCCGTGATGCTCTCTTCCTGACCCAAGCCTAATCCCTGACCTTGTCTGTGATACTGACCTTCCCCCTGACCCCAAGCCTAATCCCTGACCTTGTCTGTGACACTGACCTTCCCCCTAACCCCAAGCCTAATCCCATACCTTGTCTGTGACACTGACCTTCCCCCTGACCCCAAGCCCTGACCTTGTCCGTGGTACTGACTTCCCCCCCCCCCCCCTGATCCTCGCATTATCCATCATTCTTGATCTACCTCTAGGCCTCACACGTTATATTAAGAAATGATTGAGAAAATTTATATGGACCATTATTGTTTTGAAGTCTGTTTATGTATTCGTTACTTTAATTCCTTAGGAAACACGTATCTTTCATTATATTAAGATGCTAGACATTGGTCGAAATTATACAAATTATTTATAATTACTTTGAATTTTTATAAGATTATTTACATTCCATAAAATATTATAATTCCAATTATTCTTCAATAATTACACTGTACCGATCTATATGAATCCAAAGTTTACATTTATTTGTGTTAACTTTTTCCAGTTAAAATATTACAATTAAAATAATATTTGAAATACAATTTTTTTTAATAGGCAACAAAACTGTAAAAAACAAGAAAATACAACCAGTCCATACTTGATTGTTAGACGTATTGACCACTTGGCCAAGAACGGAATGAAATGGAATTATCAGGACTAAGTGCCAAGCCATTGCGACTATATAGAACTTGGAAGGGGATCAGGAAAAGGATTTGTGATGGGACGGGGGAAAAGAAATGGTGCCCAACCACTTGAACGGTCTGGATTAAACACCGACCTGCATGAAGCAAGACCGTCACTCTACCGTCCAGCCCAAGTAGCTGAAGCATTTTGCCAAGAGCTGATGCGGTTATTTTGCATCGTTAGTTGGAAACTAACAGGTTTAGCGTTGGTCGTATAAACTAAAGACCACAAGATGATTATTTTGGCCAAGACAACAGTTTAATGATCCACTAACAGACAAATGTTTGTCTTTGTCAGAATCTGTGACTAGAAATTTCTAGAAAATGGTGGTACATAGACTCATTAAATTTATGCTGAGCAATACCTTTCCGTGCACATATCCTCGTTCTATATAATCAATATTTTAACATCAAGAGAAACAGTTCAACGTCAAATAATGTTGGCAAGAAACTCTGAACAGCTTCATAAATCTAAGATGGCAACCCATCATCTAAACATAGGGCCGTTGGGTGCACAGTGTGCAAGTATGCAACCTGGCCCCTCAGGCCGGCCTCATCAACATAATCTGAGAACGCACCTCAAGCTAAGTTCATTCCATCCAACGGCTGACCCCAAAGATGCCTTCATCAATTTGTTCAGTTTTCAATCTTCATTGAAAACAGAAATTTATTCATATATAAGTAAATATTATTATATATTAGCATATTATGCTTATTTAGGCATAGTTTTTATTAGGTTAGATGTTTAGGTTCTACTTGCAATTATGAGCACTTATAGTAGGCGGGAGAAGCATTTGCAGAGTTGAAATTCTAACATTCTAAGAGCTGTCGTCAGTGAAGCACTGTTCCAGAAAGATTCGAACATCATCAGTTGGGAGTCATGTGTGAAGTGCTTCTCACTCATAAACAGTGTGTTTGGCGGCTGCATGAAATGACCATTTTACTTTTGTTAATGTGTACAACTGCAAATATGGAAAGTAAAATCTGAATAAATATGTGTAATTCTTTTGACTATTTTCGTAGCCTTTACTCAATTTGAGCCTCGTTCACTTCCCTCCAGTGTTGCAAACAGTCAACGTAACCAAAGCACCTTACTTGACCTTATCTAGACATCACTGTGCCTAAACCTACAATATATAATAATTTAATTAAATTTTGAGAGAAACCGTTTGTTATTAGACTATGAACGATTGATCTTGCAAGTTGGTTCTCAGATGTATAAGTCAAACACTGATATATTATTATCTGCGTAAGTCAACATATGATTTATGGTCTCTGGGGAGGGATGAGTTCGAGATGATGTCGTATCAAAACAAGCCATGAATTCAAAGAACGTGAAGGTCCATGTATGTAGCCGTTCAAGGGTTCACAATAATCCCTGCCCTTGTATTTTTTTCGTATGTATGTTTCATAATTTCTATAATTATTGTATATATTTTTAGTAAGCTTCAAGAACTCGTATCACTGTCAACATTTACACTCACCTTATAGATTTTTCAAAAATTTTACGTTTACGTTTACTAACCTCTTGGTCACTGAACTAAATCTTTTTGTTTCTGTACATCAATTTTACGTTTATACAAGCCTTTGAATGTTATATGTGAGGTGAGATAATTGTATTATTTAATCTGAATATTTCATCACCAGTTAACCGCAACAGATTTGCCGAAATAACGTTACATCATCATGCAAAATATTTTACCAAATATTTTAATGTTCACATAAATATTACGTAAGTAATCAGTATGTATGTTTATTTCGTAAAATGTTTATTTTGTAAAAAGTCAAAATTGTATGCTGAAAATTACTGCTAGATTCCCAAGGGATATCTAACACATGCAGTGCCCTCATGATAAGGTGGAGAGAGAGAGAGAGAGAGAGAGAGAGAGAGAGAGAGAGAGAGGAGAGAGAGAGGAGAGAGAGAGAGAGAGAGAGAGAGAGAGAGAGAGAGAGAGAGAGAGAGAGAGAGAGAGAGAGAGAGAGGAGAGAGAGGAGAGTGAGAGAGAGAGAGAGAGAGAGAGAGAGAGACCGAGAGACAGAGAGAGAGCGAGAGGGAGATACCGAGAGACAGAGAAAAATGATATGAGATACTCACTAGTCATGAGATCTCTTGCTAGCGCTGATTGCTGTAGGGACCTGAGGTGACGCTGGTACAGCCTCTTCTGTGCCAGTAAGGCCTCAGCCGACTTGAGCTTGGCCCTGGCGGCGACCGTAGCAGGCGACTCTTGCTGAGAGTTCACTGAAGGACATTCACTCGGCGGTAGCTCCGAGGATCCCCTGCGAGGAATTGTAGCGGGTACTTGATCCTTATTCTCAGACGCTTGTTGCCTATAACAATAGAAGCTGAATAAGTTTAAGTTTTATTCATGTGTGTGTGAGTGTGTGTGTGTGTGTGTGTGTACTCACCTAGTTGTACTCACCTAGTTGTGCTTGCGGGGGTTGAGCTCTGGCTCTTTGGTCCCGCCAGGTTCCTGAGCCTATTGGGCTCTATCATATCTACACTTGAAACTGTGTATGGAGTCAGCCTCCACCACATTGCTTCCAAATGCATTCCATTTGTCAACCACTCTCACACTAAAAAAGCTCTTTCTAATATCTCTGTGGCTCATTTGGGCACTCAGTTTCTACCTGTGTCCCCTAGTGCGTATGCCTCTTGTGTTAAATAGCCTATCTTTATCAACCCTGTCGATTCCCTTGAGAATCTTGAATGTGGTGATCATGTCCCCCCTAACTCTTCTGTCTTCCAACGTATATGTGTGTGTGTGTGTGTGTGTATGTGTGTGTGTGTGTGTGTGTGTGTGTGTGTGTGTGTGTGTGTGTGTGTGTGTGTGTGTGTGTGTGTGTGTGTGTGTGTGTGTGTGTGTGTATGTGTGTGTGTGTGTGTAAATCACGAAGGTTGACACGTGATGAAAAATGTGACAGTGTCAGACCACGGAGGAAGAATTGAAACAGGAATTTCCTTAAGTACTTTCGTATTTATTAATACATCTTCAGAAGGGTGTATTTAGTGTATAATACCCTTCTGAAGATGTATTATTAAATACGAAAGTATTTAAGGAAATTCCTGTTTCAATTCTTCCTCTGTGGTCTGACACTTGTCATATTATATATATATATATATATATATATATATATATTGAGTAGGGTGAATTATATATATATATATATATATATATATATATATATATATATATATATATATATATATATATATATATATATATATATATATATATATATATATATATATATATATATATATATATATATATATATGTCGTACCTAGTAGCCAGAACGCACTTCTCAGCCTACTATGCAAGGCCCGATTGCCTAAAAAGCCAAGTTTTCATGAATTAATTGTTTTTCGACAACCTAACCTACCTAACCTAACCTAACCTAACTTTTTCGGCTACCTAACCTAACCTCACCTATAAAGATAGGTTAGGTTAGGTTAGGTAGGGTTGGTTAGGTTCGGTCATATATCTACGTTAATTTTAACTCTAATAACAAAAAATTGACCTCATACATAATGAAATGGGTAGCTTTATCATTTCATAAGAAAAAATTAGAGAAAATATATTAATTCAGGAAAACTTGGCTTATTAGGCAAATCGCGCCTTGCATAGTAGGCTGAGAAGTGCGTTCTGGCTACTAGGTACGACATATATATATATATATATATATATATATATATATATATATATATATATATATATATATATATATATATATATATATATATATATATATATAACTGAAAACTTCACACCCCAGAAGTGACTCGAACCCATACTGCCAGGAGCACTATGCAACTGGTGTACAGGAGGCCTTAACCACTCGACCATCAGTGACCGTACAAAAAGTGGTGATAGGCGAGGCTATTTGAACCACCTCCCCGACGGCACTTTGATTACCATCAAAGTGCCGTCGTGCAAGAGTGCGCTCTTTGCGTCAAAGTGCAAAGTACTGTTTTTTGGACTCCGTGACGATACAGTGTAGGACTGTCCCTTGTGTTGAGTAGGGTGAACTCGCCGGTGTGAGGACCATTGAACGCGGATGACGTATAACAGAAAAGATAGTGGACTTACCGGGATAGAAGACTGCAGAACTTATCGTATTAATGTACTGTGCGAAAGTGACACTTACAGTGTACATATGTGTGTATATACTGATAATATAAGTATAACTGGCGACGATGCAGATTAGTATTGTTTACTCCCGTTATATTTGTCATGATTACTAGTTACTGCCTATTCTTGATAACTTGATAACTTACTATTGACTTGGGGTGGGATCTTTGAAGAAGAAGCACTAAGCCCATACACAGTGATTGAAATAAAGAACCAGGACACTGGCTCAGTGAGACTGTAGCACCTGATTACTATGTTGTGATTACCGTACCCTGAAAACCATACCATAAATACCATACCCAGATTACCATACCTTGATTATTATACCCTCATTACAATACCCTGATTACCGAATCCTGACACCCATTCCTTGAATACCATACCTTGTTACCATTCCCTGATTAATTTAATGATTCGAATGTATTGTATGTGAGAGCCTTCGTATGTGATATTGTATGTGCGAGTCTTCGGATAACTGGAAATCTGGCAAGGGCATGGTGTTAGGAACGTGTTTTATCTGGTGGTTAGGGCAAGGGGTGGGAACGATATGTTTATTCTAGGCTTTAGGGCATGGGTGAGAACAATGTGTTTCATATTGGGTATAGAGCAAGGTGAAGGAACAATATTGTGCTGGCGGGGGTTGAACTCTGCTCTTTCGGCTCGTCTCTCAACTGTCAATCAACTGTTACTAACTACTAATTTTTTTCATACTCACACACACACAGGAAGCAGCCCGTAAATGATGTCTAACTCCCAAGTACCTATTTGATGCTAGATAACAGGAGCATCAGGGTGAAAGAAACTCTGCCCATTTGTCTCTGCCAGCGCCCGGAATCAAACCCGGGCCACGGGATTACGAGTCCCGCGTGCTGTTCACTCGGCTACCAGACAACATGTGTTTCATCTTGGGTGTAGGGCAGGTGAAGGAACAATGTATTTCAGATGAAGTCCGTTGATAGAGTAATTATGTTCAAATGATATCTACACAATAAGTTTTGGAGTACTGTATTGAGAAGGATTCTTGCATTTTGTATTGAAATCATACTGAAAGCTTTCAATAGAAAATGCATGAATTGAGCATCAACTATTTTAATATAAAGTAATATTACCTCATATTCCCTGATAATAAAGCATAATTAGAAAGTAATAATCAATTAATTGTTTTACATCCTTGTTCAGCCAGAGTTCATGCTTTAAAATTTAGAATAAAATTTTAAATAAAACAAATAATTTTACAATGATTATTACAGAGATTTTCTTGTTTATTAATGTGTTGATTATTTGTTGTACTTTATGGCCTCTTGTCCAGGAATGTGGTGAGAGGTGTGCCACACGTTTATCATGGTGCTATTATATATCGCCTTTTATACTCTCTGTGTTGCACGAGGGTTGGCGAGCCTTTAGCCCCTAAATAGCAGTAGCTGTTATTGGTTAGCGGGGTCTGGGCGACATGAAAGGTGGCCGGAGGTGTAGGATAAACAGCCCACCATTACTCTGCTCTGCCACCAGGTGGACTCAGCTGGTTGGCGCGCGCGAACCTCGTCCTCTCACTTACACCCCTTCGTACGGGGTTATTTTGAGGGCCTTATCATCTATTGGTTGTGTTCATTTAGGGTCAGAGAGACAGAGACTATCGCGTGAATGAGATGTGGATGTTAGATATTAACGGTGTGTTCTTGAGGGAAGGGGGAATATTACAAGGGAGGCTCTGTCACTCAGACAATTGGTAAACAAACATGTCGATGGGTAACGCGCTGGCTGGGATATTCTTGTCACTCCCTAAGTACGATCTTTTTCAGTCAGCCAGCACTGCTCAGAACTAACATCAGGTCCAAATACAAGGCCAACGCTGTTAAGCTGTAAACGCAGCAAATTACGTATATATTATTGTCATAACCCGTGCAGGGGCAATAAGGAAAAGTGCCAAGTGGCTTACGTAGCGAACTTGAGAGAATAAACACAAGAGAACGAAGCTTAAGATGGAGGTGAAGGGGATGATGATGTTTCTCACTGTGGAGGGGCGCGGCAGCTAAGTGTTTCATAACAAACTGTGAAGTATTACAGCTGATGAAGGCCGGAGTGTGGGAGCAAAAAGTTGAATGAACGTGAAATACGATCAGCTTACGCCGCTCACCACCGGGATTACTTTACTCATGCATAAGGCAGCCAAGGGGCCAAGCACGCGATAGGAAGTGAGAAGAAATATCATACATAAATTATACACACACACGAGCGAGACCACAAAGGAATTCCTCCAGAAGGATGAGACAAGAGAGGAGAGAATCATGGTAGTAGGTGCAAGGGAGAAGTGCAGGGAGAGAGAGAAGGAAAACAGTAGAACCAGTCCCAACCCCGACAATCCCAGAGGCGAGTAAGAAACCCACAACAGCAGCCCCAGACAGGAGTGACAACCCCCCCCCCCCCGCGCCCGCACAATCCACTCCAATCAAAACCTCCCCATCCTTGTCTCTCTCTAAGTGCTTGGTTAGGGACCACATATGCGGAGATACCTTCATCATGGGGTACCTTCATCAGGAAGTACCTTCATCAGGAAGTACCTTCATCATGGGGTACCTTCATCAAGAGAGACCTTCATCAGGGGGTACCTTCATCAGGAAGTACCTTCATCAGGAGGTACCTTCATCAGGAAGTACCTTCATCAGGAGGTACCTTCATCAGGAAGTACCTTCATCAAGAGACACCTTCATCATGGGGTACCTTCATCAGGAGGTACCTTCATCAGGAGCTCCCTTCATCAAGAGGTACCTTCATCAGGGGGTCCCTTCATCAGGAAGTACCTACATCAGGGGGTACCTTCATCAGAGGGTACCTTCATCAGATGGTACCTTCATCAGGGGGTACCTTCATCAGGAAGTACCTACATCAGGGGGTACCTTCATCAGAGGGTACCTTCATCAGGGGGTACCTTCATCAGAGGGTACCTTCATAGGGGGTACCTTCATCAGGAGGTACCTTCATCAGGAGGTACCTTCATCAGGAAGTACCTACATCAGAGGGTACCTTCATCAGGGGGTACCTTCATCAGGAGGTACCTTTATCAGGAAGTACCTACATCAGAGGGTACCTTCATCAGGGGGTACCTTCATCAGAGGGTACCTTCATCAGAGGGTACCTTCATCACGTGGTACCTTCATAAGGGGTATCTTCTTCAGGAGACACCTTCATCAGGGGGTACC